CGCTTTCCCGCCGGTGCCGAGTTGCCCTGCGAAAAAGTAAAGGTATTTTTCCTTTTCTTTTCGGCGAGCTGCGGGTGGAGGTGCCGGTGGTGCCACTAATTCAGCCTAGTTTAGTTTCTAGTACTAAGAGAGTTCTCCACTGTGCCGGGCCAGTCAGTCAGTCACTCGCTCCATCAGGGATTTTCTTCTTTTGTGTTTTTCTTTTGGTTCCAACGTTCCGCTGAACATCATAGGGGAAAATCAGTCGCAGAAAGTAAGAGCCAGAGAAGATAACTGCAGCAGAGAAAAAAAAATAAAAATCCTGTTCCCAACTACATCCTGCATCAAACAAAACCTGCATTGTAAGCAGCAGCAGCAGTAGATGTTCCAGGAAGAATATGTAGTAACCCTCACCAGTCCTCCGAACCGTAAGAGCCTGCTTGTGAAAGGCGCATGTCCAGGCTTATCTTGCATCGCAAGGTCTCTCATCGTCTCTCTTCTCACCTCGCATGATTGGTGCCCTCAAAGCCACACCACTTCACCGCATTTTTCCCTTTCCCAGGCGGTCGTTAGCTTGAAAAGGATCGGCGAATGTGATGCCAATAATTCCTCTCTTTCTTTTCCTCTCCGGACTGCGGCGCTTGCAATGCGAACGGCCTCTCATTGGAGCCGGACCAACGCCTGCGCCTCGGCTTTTCCCAGCAATCATTCCGGTCTGATATGGCTTGATCATTCATGCTTTTTGCAACTCACACCTCGTAGGTTTTAGTTTTAACCTTGGGTCTAATTCTGCCGTTTCCCCCCTCTCTCATTGATTGTGCCATTATCAGTGGTCATCCACACCCCTCCCCCCATCGAGGAGCGGGTGAGGAAAAATCAAAACTGTAGGTAGAAAAGTAGTATCCCCGGGCAATGGCATCATGGCGCGACCCTCCCAAACCAAAAAATCAAAATCAAAACAAATCCTTACTAGGCAGAAGGGGGAAAAAACTGGAAATCACTGTGACAACTGCAGCTGCCCCGCCAACTGACCGGGCTAATTAACGGCCATCCTTACACTAGAAGGAGTGGACTAGATAGATAGTCAGTCATCCTGGGTCCCCCATCGGTCTTCCGTGGGGACCGTAGAGGTATTATTATTATTATTTACTGGGAAGAATTAGATACCTACTTACTAGTAGTACTACTAGTACTACTAAGCAAGTAACTGACGGGTGCTGGTACTGGGTTGCTGGTGCTATTCTTGTCTTGTCCTGTCTTGTCCGTACGGCGCTGCTCCGTCCTACCAATAATTTTTTTTTCTCCTCCTCCTCCTCCCCCTCCTCCCAATCTCTCCCTCTCCAACCTTTTGATTAGAATTTCCCCTCTCTCTTCCCAATCTTCTCTTTACTTCTACTTTACCTCTCTCATCATCCATCGCTGTTTGTTTGTACCCCCAAACAAAAGAGTCATTCTTATCAAACCCATCTTCTCATCTCTCCCCACCCCCCTCCAATCTCGTCCTCATCTCTCCGCTGCCCCTCCAAGACATCCTCCCCCTCCCCTTACCTCCTCACTCCTCCTCATACACCTTTCAATTCCACCTCGGGAGGGCCCTGTCTTGTCCTACCACGCCGTTTGCCGTCTGATCGCCTGTATATTATTGCTTTTCCAGTCCATTGATATCCTTGCGGTGGCCCGTCGTCTGTTCTTGTCTTGATACCTCCAAGACTCTCAGAAAATCACAACAACAACAACAAAAAAGCCTAGTCGAGTCCAGCGTCTTACAGTTCTATCTTCCTCTTTTTTCTTCTGTTTGCGTCTGTTGCATCTTAACGACTGTTACGACCTTTTATGACCACAATGGCCCACCCCGCTGGTGAGACCGTCACAATCTCTGTCCGTCGTCCGATTGACGATCCCGTCTTCGTGGCCGGCACTTTCTCCGAGCCGCAATGGGAGCCCCTCGAACTGAGCTCCAAGATGGTGGATACCGAACCGGATGAGGAGGGATTGGTTTCGACAGAATATCTATTCTACCGCGAGTTGGAGTTGTCCCCTGGTCAATATCAATATAGATTCCGCGAGGGCGCTTCCGGCCCGTGGTTCCACGACGAGGCTGTCAAACACGGTACGCTTGAACCTTCTTTCTCCCGACATTGCATCATCGCGCAACCCATCTGAAGCTGACAAACTTGCAACTACAGCCGCAGGGGAAGGAGGTCTGGTGAACAACTTTCTCACCGTCGGACCGAGCGGAGATGCCGCCGCAGAGACCGAGGAAGCCGCGCCGAAAGAGAACGGCGTCAATGGGGCCGCTGAGCATGCTGCCCCCGTACAGGAACCCGTCGTCGAGGAGAAGCAGTCCGAGTCGGTCCCCGAGCCGGAAGAAAAGAAGGATGCTGAAGTGACGGAGCCTGCCACCAACGGTGTCGCAGCACCTGAGGTCAACGGAACGGAATCCGCCGAGCAAACCTCCGACTCCAAGCACGAAGACGTTACGACGGAGAAGGCCGACGAGGCGACGGAAACACCTGCTGAGAGCCAGCCCGCACCGAAGGAAGCGGAAGAGGTTTCAGCTGCCCCCGCCGTCACTGAGGAGGTGAAGCCTGAGTCTGACGTCCAGGTTAAAGCTGAGGAGCAACCGGAGACTTCGACCGAGAGCGCCACCGTCGCGAACACCGAAAAGGACGCCGAAGAGCCTAAAAACACTGAGGTTACGGAGGAGATCACGTCGAAGCCGGCAGAGTCTGCCCCAGAGCCCGCAGCCCAGGAATCGACCGAGGCTGAGGTTTCGGGAGAGCAGCCCGTCGTGGAGGAAGTAACCCCGGAGGTTGTTGCCAAGGATGTTGCTGCTGAACCTGCTGCTGAAGAACCGGCCCGTGAAGAACCTGCCGCCGAGAAGCCGACGGAGTCCACTGTTGAAGAAGCTACGACACAGGAGGCCCCCAAGGAAGAGTCCGCACCGAAGGAACCGGAGACCCCCGCCGTCCAGACGACTATCGAATCTACCGCAGAAGAGCCTACAAAGGAAGTGGAAGAGGTGAACACTACAGCTACCGAGACTGTCACTGAGGCTGCTACCGAAGAGCCTGCGAAGGAGTCGGTTACGGAAGAAGCGGCGGAAGCGCCCAGCACTGAGGTCCCGGCTACCGAGCCCGCTACGGAGGAACCTGCGCAGGAGGTCGCCAAGGACGAAGTCAAGGCTGAAGAACCCGCCGAGGCGACCACTGCTGTGGAGTCCACCGTTGAAGAACCCTTGAAGGAAGTGACCAAGGAGGAATCTACTCCGGAGCCCTCGACTGCTGAGCCTACCACGGAAACCGTGGAAAAGGCCACCACTGAAGAGGCCCCTGTGGAAGCTGCACCTGTCGAGGAGCAACCCAAGGAATCTGTTACCGACAAGGACGCTGTGGAGCAGCCGGCTGAGGAGGAATCCGCCGCCCCCCAACCTTCCGAGGCCCCGGTCGAAGAATCTGTCCCTGAGAACACCGTTTCTGAACCGACAACGGAGGTGGCCGCCGAGCCTGTCACCGAGACTCCAGTTGCTGATGAGCCCACTGAACCGTCTGCGGAAGAAGCGCACACTGAGCCTGCTGCGGAGAAGGTTGAGGAGCCCAAGACAGAAGAGCCTGCCGACCAGAAGGCAACTGAAGGTGCAGCTGAAGCTTCGATTGAGACAGAGGAAAAGACTGCTGAGCCCGCAGAGGAGCACCCTACCGAGGCAACCGCCGAGATCGCCGAGCCACCGGTCACGGAGAAGCCGGCAGAGGAACCCGCTGAACAGGTCACGGAAACCTCTGAAGAGGTTGCAAAGGAGGAGCCTGTCCAGCAGGAGTCTTCTAAAGAGCCTGCTACCGAACAGGCTGCTGTTGATGCTCCGGCTGAAGAGACTACGGAAACTCCTGCTAAGGAAACCCCTGTCGAGGAGGTAGCGACCGAAACTGTTGCGGAAGAGGCACTTGTCGAGACTTCGACCACGGAAGTGGCTGAAGAAGCTGGCAAGGTTGACTCGGCTGCCGAAGAACCGGTGGCTGAGAAGCCTGTCGCAGAAGAACCAGTTGTCGAGGCCTCCGTTTCAGAGACAGCTGAGGAGTCTCCCAAGGAGACTGGTGCGGATGAAGCAGTGGCTGAGGCGGTTGCGGAAGAGCCCGTTGCTTCGGAGACTGTTGAAGAGACCGCCCAGCCTGCAGTTGAGGAACCGGCCACGGAGACTTCAGCCAAGGATGTTGCTGAAGAGCCTGCTCAGGAGCCTGCTGCTGAAGCCACCGCTACAGAGGCCGAGGAATCTGCCCAGCCGGCTGCTGAGAAGCTTGTTGTCGAGGAGCCCGCCCCTGAAGCAACCACCACGCAGACCGAGGAATCCGCGCCGGAGCCTGTCGTCGAACAGACTGCTCAGGAGACCCCGGCCGAGGAAGTTGTCGAGCAACCGGCTGTTGAAGAGCCGGTCGTCGAGGAACCAGTGGCCGAGAAGACAGTTCAGGAAGAAGAACCCGTCAAGGTAGAAGAACCCGTCAAGGAAGAAGAACCCGTCAAGGAAGACGAGCCTGAAGTGACAGTTGCACATGAAGAGACTGCGAAGGAAGAAGTCCCGGCTTCCCAGGAGCCTGCTCATGAAGAAGCTGCTCCCGCAGTCCCCGAGTCCCAGGAGACTGCCGAGGTCGCTGCTGAAGAGACCAAGGAGGCGGTTGCTGAAGAGCCTGAGCACGCAGCTGAAGCTCCGGCTGCTGAAGAGCTGGTGAAGGAGGAAGTCGTCGCGGAGACCAAGCCTGAAGAATCCCTTCCCGAGGAATCTACTAAGGAGCCTGCCGTGGAGGAGCCTACTGTGCAAGAATCCCAGCAGACTGAAGAGCCCATTGAGGACACTGTCGCGGACGAGTCGACGGACGAGTCCTCCAACCTGGCTGAGTCTACTGTCGCTACGACTGCTGGAGATGAGATCGTTTTTGACAACCAGTCGACCAAGGAAACTGAGCCAGTCACCGAAGAGCTTGTCGAGGAGTCTGTTAAGGTAGCTGTCGAGGAGCCTGCTGTCGAGGAACCCGTCAAGGAGGCTGTCGCTGAAGAGCCTGCTGTCGAAGAGCCTGCTGTCGAGGAACCTGCTGTCGAGGAACCTGCTGTCGAGGAACCTGCTGTCGAGGAACCTGTTAAGGAGGCTGTTGTTGAGGAGCCTGCCGTCGAGCAGCCTGCTTCGAAGGAGCTCGTCGTTGAGGAGCCTCCTGTCGAGGAACCTGTCAAGGAGGTCGTCGCTGAAGAGCCTGCTGCCACGGAGCCTGTTGTCGAAGAGCCTGCGGTCGAGGAACCTGTTAAGGAGGCTGTCCAGGAACCTGCTGTTGAGGAGCCTGCCGTGAAGGAGGTTGTCGTTGAGGAGGCTGCCGCCACGGAACCTGTTACCGAAGAACCTGTCGCCAAGGAAGCTGTCGAGGAGGCTGCCATCGATGAACCTGCTGTCGAGGCGCCTGTCACTCATGAGGCCGAAAAGGAGACTGCTGAGGAGCCGGTTGCGGAAGTTGCCCAAGAACAAGCGGCAGTTGAGTCGTTCCCCGAGCACTCTGAGAAGGAGGCCGTTGCTGAGGCTGCTGTTGCGGCAGTTGCAGCAGTAGCGGCGGCGGAGGTTGTCGACAAGGTTGCCGAGCCAGCTGTTCAGGAGCCCGTTGCTTCTGAACCGGTTGTTGAGGCCGCAACCGTTGAAGCTACTGAGGCTCCGGTTGAGAAGGAGGTTGCTGCCGCAGAGCCTGTCCCTGAGACCCACGAAGAAACGGCCAAGGCCGAAGAGGCACAGGAGCAGAAGGCTGTGGAGGAAGCTGTCGCACAGGTTGAAGAACAGGTTACCGAGCCGGTGCATGCGCCCAAGGATGAGCCGGCTGCAGTTGAGACTGTCGTCGAGCCTGTTGCTACCGAGGAAGCCCCGAAGGCCGAAGTTGCTGAGGCTGTTAGTGTCGAGAAGGAGGAACCTGTCCAGGTTGAAACCGTCAGTGAGCCGGCCCCGGCTGAGCCTCAAGCCAAGGAAGTGCCTGTGCCTACCGAGGTGGAGGCTCCTGTCGAGGCCAACATCGTGACGGCACACGAAGAGCCTATTCCTGAGACGGCCAAGGAGGCCGCTCCTGAGGAGTCTGCCAAGGATAGCATTTTTAGCCCTGAGGTTCTTGGCGCAGGTGTTGCTACTGTTGCTGCCGGTGCTGCCATTACCGCCGGAGTGTATGCGGCCACTCACAAGGAACACGAAGCTGCTCCTGAGCACGTTGAGTCCAAGCAAGTTCCCGTCCAGCCTGAGAGCACAGATAAGGCAGTCGTCACCGAAAACAAGCCTACCGAGCGTATGCACTTCTCAAGTCCTGCAGCGAATCAGCTGGGAATTACCGAATATGGAGCTGACCTTGTAACAGCAGTTGCCGAGGCACCTTCTACCGAGCAGCCTTCTGCATCTACCCAGCAGCCTCATGTCGAAGACGATGCCGAGCCCCAGCCCAAGAAGGCTTCTGAGCCCCAGCCCGCCACCGAGCCCGCCGCGCCGTCCGAGAATGCCGCCGACAAGGCAGTTGCCACCAAGGGCGACGAGGAAGATCGTGCCCAAAGTCAAAACCGGTCAGTCACAGCTGTTTCTCTGAACCGTAAACATGACAGCTGGTTTAAGACCATCCTTCGGGCTGTGTTCACCAATTTCTTTGGGGCTATTTTCTCGCCGTTCCGTCGCCGTGGAAGGAACAACCAGTAGAGTCGTGTCGGGTGTTGAAGACCGAGACGTTTATTGTTCATGATTGTGGTTGCCAAAGCTAATATGGTTCAGGAATCTGTTCTTGATGAGCGTTTTTACTGCACCATTGCTAGCATTTGTTTGGCATGCATATACCCGATGATTGTTCGAAGTTGCCGAGTTTGCGCGCCCACCAATTTATCCATCGATTCCCCTGTATTTGGTATTCTGCTGTCGAGCTGTTTCGCTCTCCTCTCAAATTGTCTGAATTATTGATTCCGCATTTTTAATCGTTCTTTCCTTTTGTCAGATTGGTAGTAGTTCTGTTGCAGTTGTCTGCCAGTATGTAATGATGTGCACGATGATATGATATAATGATATGATTTAGAAATTACTTCAGCAATCTTCTTAGCTAGTAGACATATAGTAGGGCCTGGCCTTCAGTTGTCCTTAACCTAGCCTATAAAAGTTGGTTGTTGCTCTCGTGTCTGTATGCTGAGAGCTACTCCATCGTAGGGATTTTCGATGACCTCTCCTGTAGAATATTCCCCAGCACCCTAATCTTCGTTGAAAAACAGTAGACTCTGGAGAAAGAAGTCCGTTCTACCTTTGAAAACACCACTCTCACATAATTCCCAAGGTTAGACCACCTACACATGAGGACGACCAAGATCAAGCAAGCATGCGTTGTAGTTTCTCCTTCCCCGAACCCTATGATATACACCATCTACTTGTAGAATATAACTCTGGCGACCTCTGAGTATTCAACTACAAGCCCAGTCCCGAATATAAGCTCCTATTTAGACAGACACATTCATCTCCCTTAGCCCATTCCTCCAGCACATCTCACCCCTCACCCCTCACACCACCCCAACCCTATAACCCTACAGAGCACATAGTAGAAACAAAGATTCACACGAATTCACCACCACCTTCATATCCTCTCCCAGCCACCCTCTTCCCCCAAACTCGCCAGCGATATCAACCAAACCGAACCCAATCCCAAGTCCAGCACTCATTCATTCACTGCCCCTATCAACCACACATATCGCCCCCAAACCCACAGCAGTAGAAACAGTAACACCAGCGCTCACATAGCATGCAAACATGCATACAGACAAAACACAACACTGCAATACATCTAGTAGAAAATGTTGCTTACCGAACTCACTCCCTCGTTTCCTCATCTCGTATCATCCATCCATCTTCGTGTTGTGTTGTTGCGTTTCTGTCGCGTCTCGTTTCGATTTTCATCTTCACGATACGCCGTCATCACGAATCTAGATACGGATAGAACTTACTACCACTAATAACGTTACGCTGTGCTTTGCTTTGCTTAGTCGTCGATACGTACGCACGCACATCGCATTATTCAGGATTCTCTCCCCCCCTTTGCTCACAAGCTTAGTCGTCAATGCGTCCTGCTGTGATTTACCGTGCAACGTTCCTTTTAATCCTTTTTCGTTCCGCTCAGCTCTGGCAGCGTCTGCGTGAACGGGCGAACGAGAAGGTTAGGGATAAGGAGGGCAAGGAGCCTAATCTTTGAGTTGAGTTAAGTTAAGTTAAGTGGTTTGGTTGGGAAAGGTAGAGTATTATCTTCTTGATTCAGAGATCGTGCCTGCTAGGATTGAGGAGTCAGACTGCTCACACTGTGCTAGATACAGAGCCCGGTTCCATCCATTGATTAGACTTGATTAAGCTGGTGAGTTCTTATCCATCCTGGGGAACTTGAAATCAATAAAGGGAATAAAGAGAGAAGGAAGTAAAAAGACACAGCTAACCATACTTAGCATACTGCTTCTTCATCATCATGTCGGTCAATGAGGGAAATGCGTGGGCTCTGCGACGGGCCAAGGAGAGAGAACAGATGAGATTGAGCGGTGATACTGAGCAGGGTAGTCTTTCCTCGATGAAAAGTGGTATGTGTGCTTCTTTTCTTCATCTCATACTTCAAGGAAAAGAAAGGGATAAAGAAAGAACAATGCTAACAAAAAGAAACAGTTAAAACGATCTCGCCAGAACTGGGCAAGTTGGACTTCGACTCCGACCTCGCTCTACCAATGCCAAATCCTCGAACTGCTCGAGCCAACTCGATCGTAAACGACACTCCCCCTAGCTTGCCTACCAGTGGAAGCGGGAGTGGAAGTCTCTGGAGCAGAAGCATTGCTAAGAAACGCTCGTTCACTGAACCGGGTCGTTTGGCAGCGGCGGCAGCTTCAACATCAGCGACTGGTGAGAAAAAGTCGGAGAAGAAATCAACCTTCAAGGCTCTCAAGGCCAAGCTCAGCTTCAAGGATCTAAAGAAGGAGTTTCGCAAGGAGGTCCCACCGGCAAGTACGATGCCGAAAATCACTATCCTTCGGGATGATTCTTCTTCTTTAGATTCTTTCGCTGCAAAGGGGAACACTTTCGAAGTCGAGAGGCTGTACACTCCCAGACCTAGGGTGATGGAGGTGGGTTCGGGGTCATCGTCGCTATCACGGAAGTCAAGTGTGATACGGTTGGATGATTGTTTGAAAGATTTCGAAAAGGCGTCGGATTCTTCTGTGCGTACGCCCATGAAGGATGGTGGTGGTGGTGCTGGTGGTGAAGGCGCTAGATTCAAACACTCGCTCATCCACAGCAATGAAGCGGAAGAGGGACATACTTCGACTCTGCTCGATGCCGTTCTCCTGAGCGGATCGTCACCAGCTGCCCGTACAGGAGAGCTCAGGAATAGCAGGCTGCCAGAGGTCGTCAGTACACCTCAACGCGCATGCAGTTATGCAGCTGAGCCAGCGTCTCCCAAGAGTGCGGCATCCACGGTCCGCGAGAGCGAAGCTGCACGCACGTACTCCCCATCGGTGTATGAGACGATCTTGTCTGATAGAACGTCCGATCTGCCACGTCGCGATCACGGGGTGACCAGCATAGAGGAAGTCATTTCGCTCACGCCAACCCGCGACAGTGACTCGTCCGTCAAGAAAGGTTCCGACACCCGTCTGTCGGCATTGGCGTCTCCTGTGTCAACGTTCCAGGCCGGTCCTGATGGCTCGTCTAGCGAATACGTTACCGCTCAGGTCCCCGTCGATAGAGCGCAGCTTCTGGGTTCCACTGGTCGGGGTGGCTTCGCCCCTACGCCGCCAGACCCAGGTTATCAAAACACGGCGGCGCTGGAGGAGCAACTTGCTTCGCACGTAGAGCAGCTCCATTTCCACGTGCAGCATGCGGCCAGTAAACTCGTCAAGACGTTCGAGGACAAAAACGCCTGGCACATGGACCAAGTTCTTCGCCATGTGGACACGATGGTTGACATAGCTCAGGCCATCAACAAGAAAGCGGCTGCTCAGACTGAGCTACTGAAGGAGGCACAGACGGCCGTTGCGGATGTCAGGGCTCATATCGACACGCTGCGACGCGAAGTGCGCGTCATCAAGTCGAAAATAATCACTGCGATCCACGAGGAAATTGGCAAGCTCAGGTACGACCTCCAAGAGGAGGGTAAGCTTGGCCCTGGCAACCCAGCATCTGAGGGCATCCTGACCCCCAGTGCTGGGCTGCAGGGCCCATCGATTCCTTTGATGGTGAACCGAGACTTGAGCGCGCAGGATGATGGGAGGGACAAGTTGCTGCCGAGAAAAGAAGAAGGGAAGTATGGTGAGATGAAGAAGAAGAAGACGAAGAACGAGCAAGAGGAAAATAAAGAAAGAAAACAAGCAGCCCCGTCGAGCGTGTTACGCAGTGCCAATCTTGTGAATAGCTCGTCCTCCGCTTACCTGAGCGTCAGAGACCATCAGCACCAGATCACTGAAAAGCGAGTTGCCTGGAAAGATAACTATGAGGACACTTCAGGATCCCCCACTCCCAAAGCATCTACTTTCCTCGATCTGCCAGACCTGCTCGTGCCAGCAATCGAACAAGCCGAAGCCTTACTCACATCTGCTGCACAGCCCAAGATGGACAAACCTGCACCCAAACGCAGCTTCTTCAACCTACTTCTTCACCGTGACAGTGATAATAACGCCAGCCGCACGCAGGAGAACAAACCTCAAACTGTCGACAACAACAAGGCACAGGGCAAACTGACCACCCCAAATCCCAGCCACGATCCAAACCTGGACCCCAGCACCATCCACCCAGTCCTACGCACCCCCGAGCAAAGCAAAATCATCGCCGAGCGCGACCTCGAACGCATCCGTCTCGAAAAACACCAGCTGGCCATGCTGACAACTCCAAGTCCCACTCCTGCTCGACGTCCCGGCGTGCTCAAGCTATCGAAATCTCACTCTTCAATCGGCGGTGGTGCTGGCACTTCTACTCCTGAGAGTACCTCCTCCTCACCTCCTCCTACTTTGCACGGCTGGCCTCTTCCAGATGTGTACAAGAATAGGCTGCCTGCTGTGCCGTCTCGCGGCTTGAACTCAACTCCCCAGCAGCAGCAGCAGCAGCAGCAGGGCTTCGATAACCCGTACCCGATTTTCAGACACCCTGTTCCTGCCTCGACTGCGTCTGGTTCAATTGGCTCCACTTCTAGTTCCCCTGCCGGGTTCTCGCCGTCGCAGGGCGGTAGTGGTAGTCGTACTGATGGCCCTCCTCCCAGACCTCGTCGTCCGCCTCCGCTTCCGCTTGAGCTGATTTCCTCGAATACTACTACTGTTAGTTTTGGCCGGAAGAGAGAGGGGTCGGGAAGACATCGGAGTGGGACGTTGGAGAGGGTCGACGAGTAGGTAGGAATTGATTGGTGATGGGTTGGTGAGAATTTGATTGATGATAGTGGAATGGCTGGCTGGATGACTGTCAGTTCAATTCTCAGTTACTTCTGTTGTTTTTCTTTTACTTATGAGGTGGGCGATGTCATGACTTTATGTTTTATTGAGTTTCATCATGACGAGCGATGGGATGTTTCTTTTTTCTTTCCTTTCGTTGGCATCTCATTGAGCGGGTATTATGAGATTATTGATGGGGTTGAGGTGAGATGTCAATGGGTGTTTCAAGGGCATATTTATGAAATCGGAGTTGGAGGAAAAGGAAGTTTAAAAAAAGGGAGTTCTCTGAGTTTCTCATTTGTTTCATTTTACCGGGTATCGGATACTCTATGGGGAGGGCCAACAGATAATGATAATGATAATGAATAAAAAAAGATTCAAAAGAAAAGTGGAATAGAGGCGTAAGTTAGATAAATTTGACCCGCTAATTAAAAACAATGACTCTATTTCCGCGTCGCAATCATCTTCTCTACATCCAACGCAGCATCCCGAACCTGAGGACAGTAATGCTGGCGCAACAACTCTCCCTCCCAGATCGTGCCCGCGAAGACATTAGTCGCCTCGATATCGGTAGCGTACGCATTGAACACACCGTCTCCCTTGCGCTCATCACTGTGCCACAGTGAGGAGATGCGGCGTGCATTATGCCTGGCCACCTGGTTCATGAGCGAGAGTGTCGCGAGGGCGGATTTCTCGGGCAGCTGGAGCGAGGATGTCATCAGGCGCTTGGAGAAAGAGCCTAGGCGGACGGGAGGGGGCATTCCGTGTGCGCGGGAAATCAGAGTAGATTGCAAGCAGCGAAGGAGAAGAACCATGGGCGTCTGGAAGTTGACCTTCTTCCTGGATCGGTAGGCCGGGTTTGCTTCGGGGGAGTTGGGGTCGGGGAGGCGGAGGGATTTGTCGGGATTGAATTCGACGTCAGGATTGATGGAGAGGTTGTAGAGCGAGCGGTAGAGGTGTTTTACGAAGAAACTCAGGTCCAGGTGGAGTGTGCTGGCGGCCTTGCTGGCGTCTTGTCCTTCCAGGAGGGCAAAGGCTGTGACGGTACAGAGGAGGGCTTCGCGCTGGGCGTCGCGGGTCGTGGCTGGCTCCGCTTCATTGGTTTCGTCTGTCTCCTCTTCCTCTTCTTCCTCCTCGGCTCGATCGGCGTGACCGATTAGGTCCTTGAGTGCTTCCAGCAAGTCACCGAAGAAGTCCTGGTTGATCAGGTGGGCGTACTTGGCCAGACCTTCGAGGACAGGGCCCATGAGCTTGGGGATGCGGAGCTTGAGGATTCGGAAGTAGACGCCGAAGACGAGCTTCAGCGTTTCTGCTTGGTTCTTATCTCTCTCCTCGTGGGAGACCAGTGCGTCGGCCTCCTTCATGTCCTTCTCGACCGCTTTGCGCTCCTTTTGGACCTTGCGTTCCCGCTTGGTGCGGAACTCGCGCTTCTGCTTGGGCTTCTTGCCGAATTGCGGGGTCTCCTCTTCTTCTTCGCGATCGATTCTGTCTCTTGACGCCTTGCGGGAGAATTCGGACAGCAGACGGAGGTGGAGGAAGGTATCCAGGACGGTCTCGTTGATGCGGAACTCCTTCGCCTTCATCATCTTCGACAGGAGGCGGACAGCCTCGAGGGACACAACTCCGTCCTCGTCCCGTATGAAAACCTCCTCCATTGTCTCGCGACATTTGACGAAATCGGCATCGACTTGTTTCCGGGCGAGGCGGTTGACGAGGATCTTCAAGAGCTCGCTACGGAAGTTGAAATGCGCCACGGAAAGGAGTAGGTTGCAGGCGCAGTTGATCGCAATGCTCTTGAGGCCAGGGTCCACCTGGGGGCCGTCCTTCTTGGCTGGTTTCGTGAGTTCCACCAGCTTTTGGATGTAATGCTTGTAGTTCGAAAGGAGGGATTGTTCGAATGTCCGTAGCTTGCGCACTTCCTTGGAGATTTTCGCGGACAGGTCTTCGTCGCCGAGGGGTCGAATTCGGTAGCCAGGAATAACGTCCTTGTACACTGCGGCCTGAGCGGCAAGAGCCAGTTTCTGGATCGCAACATGTTCTCCCCTCTCCATGATTTCGGCCATTGTCTTGAATAGCGGCATGTTCTCTTCCGGATCTTCGTTGATTAACGTAGCAAGTCGCGCAAGTTCCTCCTTGGTCTGGATGATTTGCAGCTTCAATGGGATTTTCGGCTTCTCTTCTTCAACCTCTTCCTCATCTTCATCGGAATCCGCATCCTCCATATCCTCGTCGTCATCGGTGCCCAGAAAGCTGTCGGATTCTTCAGCCTCCGGCTCGGGTTCCGGTTCCGCCACATTTTGTAGACCTTCCGCAGTCTTGATAGGCAATCTCGTTTGTTCCTTGTCCTTCTTGCCCAATTTGCGCGGGCGCTGCTCATAGTCTTGTTCAAGGTCCCACTCGGCGGCATTGCTGTAGAAGTCGCTGGCAGACGCACCACCGGAGGATTTGGAGCCACGCTCCTCATCTCCAGGAGGGCTCACCCGTCTCCGTTTAGTCGTACGTGCAGGAGCCATTTCGCGGTGCCTGGGGTATATTCTGGGGTGTGGTAGCGGCAAGTTGTTTGCGCGGGTTGACTGTCCGAAACTTTTTTTCTGCGGTGCCAAGACCTGGACGCTAAAGGCGGCCGCTCCACCTTGTCTAGAATTTTTGTTCCCGCGGAGCTTCGACTTACAAAGGCTGCATCGCAATCGCGTCTGGAAATCTTCCTGCGCTTTTCTGCTTGTTTATATTCTATTCAGTCCTCGCGTCTAGTGCAGTGAACTGAAAACAGTCTTTCAAGATGCGTCAACTCACCGAAGGTAGGTGCAACCATCTCCGTCTGTTGTGATTCTTGCGCATGGGTTCTCATATCGTTTCTGCATAGAGGAAACCCGGACTCTGTTCGAGAAGTTGGCCAATTACACTGGAAGGAGTCTTAACAACCTGATCGCTCCTCCTTCTGCCTCCGAAGATGCCAACGACCGCTATGTCTTCCGTCTCCACGGCAGCAGAGTATACTACCTGAGACTTTCCCTGGCGAACCTCGCAACCAGCATCCCTCGCGCCAACCTCCTCACCCTCGGAACCTGCATCGGAAAGTTCACCAAGACCGGAAAGTTCAGAATCCAGCTTACGGCTTTGGATGTCCTCGCTCCCCATGCGCGCTACAAGGTGTGGATCAAGCAGAACGGTGTGATGCCGTTCCTCTATGGCTCCAACGTGGCCAAGGCCCACGTCGGAAGATTCAGCGAGGACTGCCCGGAGAATGCGGGTGTCATTGTTATGGATATGAATGATACGCCATTGGTAAGAGGCCCTTGGCTGGATTGAGGGAACCCAGGCTGATAGACAATAGGGATTCGGTGTGACTGCCCGGTCGAGTGCTGAGACCCGGAGACTGGAGCCCACAGCCAACGTGGTGTTCCGTCAGGCAGATATTGGAGAGTACCTGAGAGAGGTAGGTTGACGAAGTGTCATATCCACTGTATCAGATTGCTAACTTTCCCCTAGGAAGATACTCTGTTTACGACCTAAGCCAAAGCCTTGCATACGCGGGATCGAACATGGGAGATTCATACTAGATACCTGGGCATTCTCGCAGGAGTTCTGGAGTCGTCTGTCTGTACATTTAGAAAAGTGTTTCTCAATTCACCTTATCCATCTATTATCTCATGATATTTTTCTGTAATTTCGGCTCTGCTGGACATTCGTAGCTGGATAAAAGTAGGCTAAACCATTACAGATATTGCTGAATCCCGTATAGTATAATATTGAGTAGCAAGCCAATCCCACCGAATGGCAGGCGTGAGTGGTGGTGTTGGGAGGAATGTGATGTGAAGCTGGCAGAAGATTAGAATATTAAATGCGGGGCACGTGCACGGGCACCTCTCACTCAGCGAGCTCGATTCGGAGATGTGAAGTTTCCCCATCCAGTCATTTCAGCAGCGGATTAACAACACTTCTGTATATTTCCTCACCTTGCAGCCAGTGTGCTCACAGCCACCAACCCTTTCACATCCTCACTCCCACGTTGGCCTCCTAAAGAGTCCCTACACCCCCCTCCATCGGCCAATATCTTCCCCGCAGGCCACTGCCTGCCTCACCCCACCATGCCGCCTTACTCTACTGCTCAGAAGCAATGTATAATGCAATTCGTGAACCTCACCCAAGCCAAGGATGCAGTAGCTGCAAAGGTATACACTGTCTCATTGCTTCTTTTGCCCTTCCTTCGGCAGATGCCATATCGCTCAACCAGTCTTATCTGCGGTCATCACGTGTTCCTCCATGACTGACTTGTCGTATGCATATAGTTCTTGAAAGCATCTCGCTGGAATGTGGAACAAGCTCTTGATGCGTGAGTATAAGTTTTTGTGCTCTATTCAATTCTCTCTGGCTTTACTTCCTGGCTATGCTATCGCGTTTCCACTCTTGTAGCCGCGGTCCCATGGACCTGGTCATCTTATACCTCGCTTGGTTATTTCAATACGTTAGGCCTGGCGTCGTCTCATCTGTCTGTATCCCTCGTCCGGCAGGACTGAATCAAGGTACTGTTAGGTGTTGGTGCAGGCTATCCTGAAACACCTCATTGTTCAACCCTGAACGCATGTCGTCCGGCGGATACAGCTGAAGACGTAAATCTGACGCTGTCAGATGTCACTCTGTCCCATACGATATGCAGTAAAACGACTGTCGATTGAGACATTGTCATCTCTGAGAGCCTTTTCTCCGGCAGCTTCAGGCAAGAGACCTCCACAAGCGTGTAGTATGTCTGTTATCAACTTTCGACATCTATATCGTTCAGCCAGATTTTCCTACACTTTACCTGGCATCCGTGCGCTTAGAGAATCTGCCTTGAGGTCTACTCCCCACTTTACCTAGTGGTCAAAAGAATACTGCTCTTGCAGTATGCCTAGCACAAAAGCAGAAAGAACGGAACATTTACACATGAGACCACCCAGCCTGCGCATTGAAATCCGAGCATGCATCAGAGTTCCACCGACTCTAGCACTGTCTACATCATCTGCTTCATACACCCACCAACATATGATCCAACCACTGATCTCAAACAGTCGCTAATTCCAATCTCACCTCCAGATACTTCCAAAGCTCCTCCGGCGCCGGCGGTAGCACATCCTCACTGAGCAAGATCTTCGATAGTTATCGAGGTTCGCCCACCACTCCCACCTTCTTCCCTATAAGTATATCCAAAACTAACCTCCACCAGATGCCCCAGAAGACAACCCAGACGGGATCGGCATCGAAGGAGCGATGAAATACCTCGGCGACATCAAAGTTGGCCTCGACGAAGTAGCATGTCTAGGAATTGCCGAACTGCTCAAATCCCCGTCAATGGGCGAATTCACCCGCGAAGGCTTCATCAATGGCTGGAGACTAACTGGGTAGATACCCCACACCCACCCATACATATCCCCAAACAAACAAACAAACTAATATACGTGGAAATTAGATCCGACACCCTCGACAAAATGATCGCCCACGCCGCGGACATCCGCGCGCGCATCCCCATCCAACCGGACCTCTTCCGGCGGGTGTACCGCTTCACCTTCCCACTCTGTCGCATGCAAGGCCAGCGGAACCTGCAGTTCGAGATCGCGGCGGAGCAATGGCGGCTGTTCTTCACGCCGCAGAATGGCGGGGTGCAGTGGAACACGGAGTCGACTCCGTGGTTGGATTGGTGGATTGAGTTCCTGGAGGAGAGGGGGAAGAGGCCCGTGAATAAGGATCTGTGGGAGCAGGTGGAGGTGTTTATGCGGAAGACGATGGAGGATGAGAACTTTGGGTGGTGGAGTGCGGATGGGGCGTGGCCGGGGGCGTTGGATGATTTTGTGGAGTGGGTGCAGAAGAAGAGGGGGGAGGATATGGAGGTTGAGTAGGTAGTGTTTTCTTCTTCGTCTTCTTAATCATTCTTGATGTGAGATTTGACTAGTTGTCTACGATGACGGTTAGGTAGATAAATGGGATGGGTTTATGATTATTACTATTACATGATGGTAAGGGATGGTGTAGGGAATCTTTAAATCTTGGTATTTTGTTATCGGTATGAAACTATGGCGACAGTGATAGACAGAAGAGGTATGCAGCATGGTGGGTTGTGTCGCCAGAGGAAATAGAGAATAGAAACGATAAAACATATTCATCATAACAGGGGCAGGGCAAACATATCTTCATCTCGACGCCAGAGCTCCATCATTAGAGGTATATCCGGGTCAGATTAGGATGTCATGGGGGTAATGAAATGGATGACAGGGAAAGGGTGGACTTTCCGATAAGGTGGCTGGGCTGAGGCAGCCGCTCATTCCGGTAGTCTCTCGGGTTCGGGAGACGTACCCGAGTGAACGGACTGCTCTAACTGACCATTATTGGAAAGTCCACCCTTTCCCTGTCGGTAGTCATAAGCTAGATACAGTATATTTACATCGTTTACCGGTAGTCGCCCTTGTCGTACTCGCTACCGGGTCCACGGCGTTGGTCGTAGCGCTGTCGTGCTCAGGTTAGCGACTGGTCGCGTCGGGATCGTCACGTAGCTGATTTACCTTGCGGAGAGCCTCAAGACGCTTCTTCTTGGTGTGCGTGTTGACGTAGGTTCCAATGACGAACCCGACAATGTTGAAGAAAGGCACCCAGGTGTGTTCGGGGAGGAACTTCTGGGCAAAGGCCAGCGCGATGGGCGAGGTGACCCAGCTGACCTTCATGACGGGCATGAAACCGGCCCGCACGGTAGCGCGGACCTGGTGGAAGGTGCGCGCGCCCGCGATAACTGCCATGCAGCACAGGTACACGGCGTTTTGGATGGGGGAGACCTGCGTCGCGTCAGCATTCCAGGCGCACGTCAGAAGGGAGTTTCAGATCGAACATACCAACAAGTTGCTGGCGAGGATCTGCAGGATCTTGGCCTTGATGCTCGTCCGGCCAGCGAAGACCCGCTGCAGAATTCCAATGAGGAAGTGGCCCAGCGGGGCGCTGATGAACATTCCGTAGAGGGCCATCTTGGGGACGCGGGCGCTGAAGTAGTGACCGTGCTTGCTGACATCATGGGCGATCCACGAGGCCAGGATTTCTTGCAAACTGGACAGGACACCGGAGGTCAACATTTTAGTGCGCAGGGGGTTCGACTGCAGTTGGCGAAGGTAGAGCTATAATGGACGCGCATTGTCTCAATCAGTGGGACTGTAAACACGCATCGGGGGTGCGATTACACAGGCGCAAAACATACAGCGAGATAGCCATCGCCAGTCAACCGGTTTCCAACCTTGTGGACCAATTCCTTTGTATCCTCCCGTATCGAGGTGACAGCCTCGTCCTGGAACTTGGCAGACATTTTTGCTGACCTGGTGGGTGTGGGTGAGGGTGTGGGTGAGGAAAGAGAAGAAGATTAAGCGCGCGCGATATGGTCAATTAAGAAGGACGGGAGCCAGAAGACGATAGAGTCACGGAAGACGGCAGCTACGGAAATTACGGGACACAGTCAGCCAAGCCAGACAAGGGAGTGGGGTGAGAACCACAATGGAGATTTGGTGGAGATGGAGAATGAGAGGAGGAGGAATGAAGTGGGTTTTGGGTTGGGGAAAGAAGGTAGGATAGACAGACAGACAGACAGAGGTGAGGTGAGATTTGAGATTAGGTGGAAAACATGGGGTTGGCGACGGAAGATGCGCTGTCCCGCATAGAACGGCAGGGAAAAGGAGGAGCAGGGGGGGGGGGGGGGGAAAGAGGGAGATGAGATTGTTGGCTGATGGATGATTTGTTGATGGGCAGCAACAGCACCCGCCAGCCAAAACAACTAGTAACTTAACGAGGCTAAGGAACGAACGGGAACGAGTCAAGGGAAAGGAAGGAGGCTGGTTTGTTCGGGAAGATGAGCCAAAGCTTACCGAGGTCGGAAGAGTTCCTGTGCGAGTTGGAAATGAGATGCAGCAACACAGACAATAATATGGGGAAGGTCAACGCGGATAAGAGCAGGTAAGAGACCCAGTCAATAATAATAATAGTTAATCCACGGATCAATTCAATGGATGGACCAACACCTGCCCTAAGCTGACAGGAGACAGGAATCTAGTTCCAACTTCACCAAACACAGCTAGTCAAGTCAATGCGACTAGTGAGTGAGTAGATAATAGATAGTAGATAGCAGTGATTAAAGTATTGTTGTTGTTGGGAATGTGGAGGAGGAAAGCAGTCAATAATCAAAGACAATAATAATTTCACTGTCGGTCACTTCATCGGCAAATGGCGAATGTCGCTGCTTTAATACCCGCGGCCTCGGGCTGCCCGCCTTTCGGTCAGCTCCGACATGCGGGCAAGCATCTATCTTAAGGGTTCCCATGTCCACCTTTCCGATGCCTCGCTAGATCTGCTATGATTCTCTGCGCTTTCCAGGCAGTATCTGACTCTGGAATATATTTATATATAGTATTGATCTCATTATGACCGCTTTTCAGGCTTATCTCAAAAATCCGGTATTTCCTGATGGTCTATACCCTAAGAGGCAAGGCACTGGCCCAAAAGGTGCACGCCGAGTGCAGCCAGGAACAGAAAATAAACGAGCTTATTTTCAATATGTCACTCATCTTGGGTAATTTTTCTGATTCCATATCTGCTGTGCACAGTTCCTATCCACTAACAACTGCACAGGTAGAAAATGTAGCTCATATAATGCTGCTTATATAGAGATGAATGCTTCATCACAGCCCTAGGCCTTGCCTTTATGGCACTCCCAATCTATAGGCCATGTGCATGTTAACCTAGCGTTCACAATGCTTCTGCTACAGTGCTGGCAAGCATCTAATTGCAAATGCTCGTTTGAAGCGTTTGAGTGCCGAGACAGTTGGACCCGGTCTTTGGTGAAGAGGCCTAACACGTCCACAATCTCACACGATGTCTCAACGAACACTCAGACGTGTTTCCTTTCCTCACAGGAAACTTCTAAAGCATCAGAAGTCATCCTTTGATTCTTCGTTTTCATCGTTGTATCATACCAGGTCATCTCAATACTTGGAGAATCATGTCTTCTAGGTTACCTGTGGACGAGGAGGAACGTCAGGAGAGCCATTCGGAAAGGTCAGACTCACCATCCTCTCAGCTAGTCTTCCTCCCACCCCCCAATAGCGAGCCTTCGTCTGTGAGATGGGATCAGCATGCTACTTTCGAACCGGTTGTTGATCCGTTTTTCAACCTGGTGGCTCGACGAGAGGACGGCAGACCCCGTCTCTTCCCTCCGTTCTCGGGGTGGAATGAGGACGGATCTAGAGCTTGCGGTGACCCCTATTGCAAACACGATGTCGTCGTTCATGAGCATGCACTTGACAAGCACGAGACATGCGAGTCCTGCGGCCTTGTCCCGGCGCTTGGTTGGTTCTATCGTTGTGGTGTAGATATTACCGGCTTCTCCCACCGCATGGATCCAGGCCAGGCCCCCGTCCTCAGTCCTTGGATATCCGACGCCATCAAGGCTGGACACTACACGGAAATACAGAAGAGAATATTGATGTGGCAGAAAATTAGGGTCCTGCAGACAGTTGCCGCAGAACACTCCGAACATCTTGTTGCTTTCCCTGTGACAGAAGTCATCTATGGCATAGGCAATGACGATGACGACGAGAATCCCCATGTGGATTTTGTCGAAGACGTCTCAAATCCCGATCCAGACCAGTTTGCCGAAGACCGCCCCTTGCTACAATCGTCAGTCTACCCTCCTTGCAGCCATCGCGCCTGCTACAGCTGTGCACCTCGTCTTCAAGAACGAGCATGGGGCAGCATTAACGAGGTGTGCAGAGACACAGCTGTCAGGGCTCCCAGTCAGTGGGACCTGCGTGACCGCAGCATATCGGATGCAAACATTGTCAGAAACTTGGGTCTCCGACGTTTTTCAACAGCACGTCCCGGAGCTGAATCAAGCACATCGCTCGCTGAGGACAGTAAATCCCCATCGGCCCTGCTGAAGAAGCTTGTGGATAGGGCGACCAATAGTTCCGGTTCGTCTAAACATGCCAAACAGACTACCACTGTTCTTCCAATTCTTACTGCCCAAGTTGCTGGGTCCGTTGCTGGATGTTTTACCAACGCCCCTCCTACCGCATCAGGTGTTGTTCGATCTACAGAACCACTCGCTACTCCATCTGCTCAGCTAAATACTCAGCCGTCTGCTGCACCACTCACCGCGCCCCCTCCGCCTCCGCATCTTGAAATTCCCGAGTGGCTCATGGCAAGTGGCAGTTCGTCTGGCTCACTTTCCACCAGTTCAGGTGCTAGGAACTCGCAAGCAGGTCCGTCGCAAGCAGGACCATCTGGAACGTCTCGACGGACCCCTACTATCTCACGACAGCTAGCGACGGCCCAAGGCGCATGGAACAGTATTAACAAGCATCCCCGCCGCCCGAATGTCAGTTCTCGCCCCCCGCGTACAATCGTTAGAGTCCCGGCAACCGTGAATGAGGAATACGAAGAAGATCATTGGTCCGGAAGAGGTCATGAAGATGAAGAAGACGATGTTGATGAAGACTACGACGAGGACGATGAAGATGACGAGTCGGGTGGTTGTCTCCTTGATCTCGCGTCTCGTGCAGAAGAGGACAGAGAACACCGTTTCCTGAAGTAATGATCGACGAAAGATACGAGCGCCCACAAAGCAACAAATATTATTGGCATACAGCCAGAAAGGTATTCAGCCAGTGGTGACGGCAATCAAGTTGCTACTACTATTACGATGTTCCGCTCTTCGCGGGATGAGCACGGAATCTTAGTTCCTGCGTGAAAACTACTACTTTTCCTTAAGTAACTAATGTGGGGGTACGAAAATCTCCTTTTCATGTAATTCTGATCAGAATATGTCGACAGGTCAATCGATAATCAGCAAAACACTTCTTTCAGTAACTAACTAATCATCAAAAATAAATGAAATGGAATCTCCAGTTTGTCATTATCTAAGTGTTGATAATTGGGGGATACTTACTTCAATATCTAATCACCATCTAATCTGTAAAAAACCCACACCGTCGGCATCCCCCCAACCGCGGCAGGTCCATCCATCCATCCACCAGGACCCATCATTCCGAGCCAATTCCGAACCTCGGCACCGCGCCAAGCGCAGCTGCTGGTCAGATGCTTGATTGACGATCACGCTCGCCCTATTTCCCCCCATGACAATAAAGTCCCCGAACTCCCCAGTGTCCGCAGACCTGAGCAATGTCGACATAAGTCACCACCGCAAGGAAACCACTATGACCGACCCTGAACCCTCCTCTCCACCCGCTGCTGTCGCGGACAACGAAAAACACAACAATGAGGGGAAACCCCCGCAGGACAACTGCTCACCGGTATCGTCAATAACCGGCGCTGGACGTCGCCGCCAACAGCTGCTGGCAGCTCTCAAGGCAACAGACCGGACAGTCGACCGGTTCGATAGGTGAGCTACTGCCTTCTCACAACACCCTCCCAACAAACCTACCACTCAACCCCGAGAGACATGCAACATCCATCCCACTAACTCCGACACCCCCCACACACAACAGACTCATATCCACCGCCGCCGGCCAAGAACGAGTCCTGGCAGTAACAGGCTACCTCGCACACACACTACACCACATCCTCTCCTCAGCACCATGGATCGCATTCCAAGCGCGTCTCAGCCTGCTCGCTCGTCTACGCAACAACCCTAAACCTCCCACCAACACTACCACATCCTCCTCCAAATCACCCCTCCTCGCCCTCTCCTCCCTCATGTCCGAAACCCGCTTCACCCTGCGCCTCCTCGGCCTCTTCCCCCTCTGGACATGGGGCTCTCAGACCTTGAAACACCCACCGGCAGATAAACCCCTCTACATCCTGACATTGCTGCAGGTGTTCGTGAACGTCATCTACCAGGCGCTCGAGAACGTGGGATATCTTGCGCAGAAGGGGATCGTGTCGAAGCGGTTTGTGGATCGGTGGGGTGGGATTGATAAGTGGTATATTTGGAGTACGAGGGCGTGGTTTGGACATATTTTCTTTCAGTTCTTTGTGCTTTGGAGGGGGACTGTGTTGAGGAGGAAACAGATGGAGGAGGAGAAGGGGGAGGGTGGAGTTGTGGGGAAGGGGGAGAAGAGGGAGGCGTTGAGGAAGGAGATTCGGGCGTGGAGGAAGAGTCTCGTTAATAATGTTTGTTGGGCGCCGTTGTGTCTTCATTGGTGCTTTGAGAAGGGCATCGGGTTCCCCGAGCATTTGACCGGGTTGGTTAGTTTCATGGCCGGGGCTTGGGAGGTTTGGGATTATTGGGTCGCTACGGGGTTGTAGTAGGGGATGGGGTTGTGGTGGGTTTCATGTTGTATTGAGCGATTATAGCATATGGTTCTTTTTTCTTATGGTTGTTCTTGGCAGGGTGGTATACTATAGATATAGATCGGGATGGGAAGACGGATAGTTCTGCTAGCTTGCTATGCTAGGAAAGGGTCTCATCTATCCATGTAACA